AGCCCCAGTAGATAGTTGTATGTCATAGTTGCACATCCTTCCAGTTGCTGTATGTGGGACGCGGCCTCAGCATGGCCGGACAAGCGGTGCCTCAGTGCGCGCCCGGGATCCGAACCCGGGCCGCCAGCAGCGGATCGCGCGCACTTAACCGCTAAGCCACGGGGCCGGCCCATAAGGCATTATTTTAATGCATAAACTGCAGGATAAGGGCTGTCTATAATCTTCCAATACGACTCAAAAAATCCTCTATTGGGGGTGGACAACAGATGCAGATGCAGGTTCTGTCTTTCTACAAATTTCAGAGAAATTATGAAGTTCCCTTTAAGATTAAGAAGCTAAACTGTCAAATAATCCATTTTCATTTTACTTAGGAAACCTGGCCCTACACTGTTTTGTGGTTAATAGTTTTGTAGTTAATTCATTTATTGCATCCTAGTTTCCTGAGGTCATTATAGTCACATGTTGCTTAACGATGGGGACACGTTCTGAGAAAAGTGTTGTTAGCCGATTTTCGCATTGTGCGAACATCATAGAGAGTAGTTACACAACCTAGATGGTACAGCCTACTACACACCTAGGCTATATGGTACTAATTTTACGGGACCACCAAATATGTGGTTGGTCATTGACTAAAACGTTGTTATACGGTGCATAACTCTATCCTCCCAGAAAATTATTCAACTTTTCATGAAAGTATCTAAGATTTGATTGATGAACTATTAGTCTTTTAATTTTATGGGTAATTTTTGGGCCAACTTTGAAAAGAGAAAAGAGAAAGTAATTACACTAGTGGAAATGACTCTACATTCTCCAAATTCCATTTTAGAGTATAAAGAAGCGCAGCTTAAACACACACGTCCACAATTCTCCCTTCAGAAAATCTCCTTACAGCTAGCGCTTACTCTAGGTGGCAAAAAGGCCATTTTCCCTGCTAGTAGCTAGTAGCAGCCCAGAACTCTGGGCTTCCTGCAGGGTTGGCTGGTATCACATCAATCACTACAATACACTGTGTGTCACTTTCAAAAACATACAAAGAAATGTGGACTTCTCTCTGAACCTTTTCAGGCTATTTTCCAGAGTCTCTCCTTTCAATGGAATGTACTGGCTGCAGTCAGATAGGGAACAACAATGTTAAGGAAAACTAATTTATTTGTATATTTTTCTTAAATGTGATTCTCTGAATAGGTCTGGCATTAGACGTTTGACTCCTCCTTGCATAATTTCATAATACCAAACAAAAACGAAAACAACTCTCTGTGGCACCAGTTTGTATTGATGAATTGTTTAGTATATAAACCACAGATGAAGGCGAAGCTAGTATCCCTGCAGCTCATTTTCCAGGACAGCAAAAAATTTTCTTTACAGAAAATCCTGTGTTTTCTGGACTTACAAATAAAGGGAGGGAATTCTGCTTCTGGCATGGTGGAGTAAGCTCCTCCCTGATCAACCCTCCTGAAGATAATAAACTCTGGACAAAGCACAAAAAACAACTACCTGAGGCAGTGGAGAATGAACAAAAGCAGGCGGATCTAGAAGAGGATTGGACATTTGGAATTAGGGAACGGCACAGGCATAGTGTTCCATTTTTCTGGCTTTTAATCTGGGGTCAGGCCACAGTCAGTGCTGTATGGGGTGGCTAAAACTCCACAAGAAAATCCCAGTCTTTCTGGCCTGAACAACTAGGGTACAGGTTTCAGAATGACCACAGCCCCTGGGAAGTTATGGGAGAATCCCAGAAACAAGAGGTCAAGAGAGGGAAGATCCTGATTCTGGTATAAAATTCACCAAAATCTTAGCTGACCCATGAACCATGCATGTGTGGAGTAGCACAGGTAAGGATTAGATAACTGAACTGAGAGTGAGTTGAGCTGCTGTCCAAAAGACCCTTGGCAATTTGGGTTCAGCCAAGCAAATTGTCTGCTTAAAAACAAACAAAATCAAAACAAAAATCCACACTCTTTGGAGAAATATTACAGAATGCAGAGTCTCCAAAATACAATATTCACAATGTTCAGGATATAGTTGAAACTTACTTGACATATAAGACTGACCCATTCTCAAGGGATAAGACAATCAACAGAGATAGATCCTGAGATGACTCAGATGTTGGAGCTAGCAGACAAAGATTTTGAAGAAGCTATCACAACTATGTTCAGTGATGTGAAGGAAAACATTCTTATAATGAATGAAAAGACAGGCCATCACAGTTGATAAACAGAAAATACTTAAAAAGCACCAACTGGAAATACTAGAACTGAAAAAATACAGTATCTGAAATAAAAGAATGAAGGGAACTAGCTCTTCTCTCTTTCTCTGCTAGTTTCTCTCATAAAACAAAAATGCTAGATCTTGGGGCTGGCTTGGTGGTGTAGTGGTTAAGTTTGTGTGCTCTGCTTCGGTGGCCTGGGGTTTGCAGGTTCGAATGCCGGGCGCGGACCTATGCATGGCTCAGTAAGCCTTGCTGTGGCGGCATCCCACATACGAAATAGAGGAAGATGGGCACAGTGTTAGCTCAGGGTCCAATCTTCCTCACCAAAAAAAAAACAAACAAAGAAATGCTACATCTTACAAAGAAAAGAGATATTGCTCACAGATGGCATGTGAATTAAAGCTTGGAAAAGAACTGCCTTGCCTATTGTATTCTCTTCTCTGAAGACACATAGGGTTATTTTATGAATCTGGATTAGTTAAAAATTTTAAAGATTTGGAACCTACTAATTTTTAGGACAAATCTTCAGATACAACTTAAGCTCTGACTATTATTTTGTTCCACTGTGGTGTAAGGATTTTATAGCTCTGGTTGTAAATTGGCAGATGCAGATATCACTTGTTAGGTTCACACAGTGTTTTAAAATTTGAATTTGTGGCTAAAATTTTCAAATCAAGAGGTTTCCCATTAAAGCTTGGATTTTGGCTCTCACTCCTGCATGGTAACCATTTTCTAGAGCTGAGCAGCGGTCAACCTCTTTATATGGGGTTTGTCCTCTCAATCTGGCCACAGCCCTTTTTTGTCCATGTAGAGTCACCATTTACTTAACATGCTTGTACCTATTTTGGTTTGTGACCCCTGAATTCCTCAAGTTAGTAGTCAAATCCCCCACTATCTAGCCCCATTCCACTTTTCTAAATTTCTCTCTTGTCACACCCTCCACGATATTCAACCCTTAGGTTGAAGCCATGCCTAATTATTCCCTCACTGCCAAATACAACACACCCATTCTAGTTTCTATGCTATTTTACAAGTAGTTCACTTAAGGCCTCATCTATATGACTTTGTAATTTTCAGAAACACTTCGTGATATTGTAATTTTCAGAGACAAAACACTTTCTGTGCAGCATTTATTGTGTGCCATATCATCAGACTCAGGACCTCAGATTTAAAAAAGAGAGAGATCTTATATTTCTTGAAGGACTGTTACACATCAGGCACTATTCTAGATGTCTTCATTCAATATCCACAACCCTGATAAGTAATTATTATTTGTAATTTTCACGTGCAGCAATGAAGCTCAGAAAGGTTTACTGCATGGTTAACAGATGGTTGAGCAGAAATTCAAACTTCAAGAACCTGGTCTTTCTGCAAACCTCTCTGCCTTTGAAGGATTATAAAACCTTCTAACTCATACCTACCAGACTTAGATATATAAATATGCAAAGAGATAACTATTTACCATCCAATTCAATATTTCACTGAGCATTGCCAGGAAATAGAAAATCTATGCATCTAGGATCACATTTGATTATGTATCTTTCTTCTGCTCTGTGTCACTCTGTTGACCTTATATCTTAGTCCATTCATGCTTAACTTCTTCCACTTACTTTCCATTAGAGTGATGAAGGCAGGTATATATTCCACAGGGAAGAGAGAGGTGGGTAGTTCTCTGAAAAATGCTTTCAACATTACTGCAGCTTCTCTATGGCACATTTTGTCCCATTTAAATTTATCAGCATTAAACTTGGCATCCAGTTCTTCACGGTATTGCTGAAAATCAAAGACAACAGTCAATATTCAATGAATTTTTACTACCTGACCCTCCTTTTCTCCTTTGAAAACTGAATTACATAAACTATTTTTGTAAAGTGATTGGAAAGCCAATATCTACTAAGCCTAACTTTTTTCAACATGATTAAAGAATTAAAATAGCTCTTTCAGATTGAATTTTAAAAAACTGCTTTCTGAAATCTTTTTAGAGAAATGTTAATCTTGAAATAATTTGCTAATTCAATACAAATATAAAAGTTCTTTACTCATATCATAGTTTCATTTATGTGGCTTTGGCAGAATACAACCTATTTCCACATGGCAACCGCACTGCTGGGTTCTGACAAAGCCTCCACTTTCCTTCTTCCATGGTCCCCTCCTTCTGCCACCCTACCAGCTATTTCTAAATTAGAGCAAGGACATGCATGTCTCAGCTGGCTCACACACGAGCGAGAAACATCCCAGTGAAAGAGCTCTGACCTCGCTGCAACCTGTGGACCAATGACATCTTCCTGGGGCAGCTACAGCAGAGTTTTATGCCAAGATGTACACATGTCTTCCACATGTTTGCATACTTGCTCAATCCTTCATAAGGTTTGGAACACTGTCTAAATACTTAGAAAAAGTCTGTAAGCCTCCATACGTTGTACTTGGGTCACACATTTTACATTATCGATTCATTTGATTATCAGTGCCACCCATTCTCCACGTTTCTTTTTCAAAGTTAAACTCATTTTCTACTGCTCCCTTGAACTACAGGGAGTAACAGTCAGTTCCCTGGCCAACACTAACTGCTCCAAAAAGGATACTTAGAAAGAGAACTCAGAAAACCCTCAGTTTCCTTCAGGCCTCTGCTTTATTCTCATGAGAACCCTAATTCTTCCAGCCTTGACCATTCACTGCCACAGTCAGTTTGCACATCTGATCTTTTCCTCCCAAGGAGTGGCACATCTACCAGCCCAGACATAAATGCTCTCATGGCTCCCAGAGCCTGCAAAACAGGGGGCGCCTTGGCAGGGCATATCTCTTACAGAAAAACAGACATGATTCCGAGCCACCCTCTAGCCCCTACTGATGATATTGAAAGGAGATTTTCTTCTTGCCCTTAAGAAGCTCTCAAACTAACAGGAATAATACAGCTAATCAAGCAACTCTTTGCTGATAAATACACTTTGTAAAGCACTGAAACATATATATAAAGTCCTTTCTAGAATAAAAGAGATAGAGCGTAGACTGGGCTCTGGGAAGAGAAGGACGCATAACATCCATTCTTTGCCTTTAGGCATCTTGTAGTCCAGTGGATGGGACTATTTCATGAACTCATAATGCTAATTCAGGGTGTTAAATGCTATAAGAAATGTCATGTATTGAGTGCTATGCAGCCGTGAAAGAGGAGAATCAAACTCTGCTGGGGCCAAGTCTTGAGAACTGGTGAAGAGCTTTCCAGGGGAAGAGAAAATAGAAGGGTACTCTGGATAGAAGAAACTGCTCAAGCAGTGAAACAAATGCAAGGAGACCCAGCGGGTCTGGGAACTGCAGTTAGCTCGTGTTGCTGGAGCATCATGTGCATGGAGGAAAGGAGAGAGAGATCAGACTGGGAAGCAGACCACAGCAGATCCTAAGGGGACTGGACTTCATTCTGCAAGCAGTGAGGCAACATGGAACATTTCTAAGCAAAAGAATAAGAAGGTGAGATTTATCTTTCCTGACAGCCAGATGGAAAAGTGATTTGGAGGAGTGTAGAGCTCGATGCTGGTTGGGGAGCAGGCTAGAGACAAGGAAACCAGTTATCAGGCCAAGGCACTGCTTTTGGTGACGGACAATCAAGGGCTAACCTGGATAAACAGCTGTAAGACAGAAAACAGAGGTGGCATTTAAGAAATGCCCAGGAGGGAAAATTCTCAAGAATCAGTGATGGATTGAACATGAGATTTAGAGGGAGAAATAACTGTCCAAGGTGATTCTCAGATTGCTGGCTGCAGTAATGGGCAGATGGAGGTGTTGTTAATAGGAAATAGAGGAGAGGGAGCAAATGTTTTCCATCCACTGCCTGGTACCACCGCAGTGAAGCAAAGGAAAATTGTTTTCAAGTGCAGGAAGCATCGGTGAGAGCAGAATAATCCCAGTTCATCTCCCACATCCCTCTGCCATGGGAAGCTACCTGAAACACTAATATGACCATCACTGTAACCCGCCAGTGGTTCCCTGTCACTTAAGAGGCAACATGGGTCCAGTGTCACAAGCAAATCTATAACTAGAGTCTTTGAGTTTTTATCCCAATTCCACAACTGACTAGTTGTATGTCCTGTGCCTTAAGTTTCTCTTTGTGTGATAGGGATATTAAAATGACCTCACAGAGATTATATCAGCTAATATAACTAAAGCTAAGGGGCCAGGGCCTGCCATACAGTAAGTGCTCAGTAAATGCCAGCTGCTCATTGCATCCCCCTCCTCTGGGTCTGTTACAATCTTTAGTATTATTACTACGGGAAAACTGTGCATATGTGGTGTGGATACTTGGGTAGTAATATCACTTCATCTTGTCTAGATGGCCAGTATAAAACAAAGAATGTCCTCTCGGCTTTGACCAGAGCAGACTGTGGACCGTAGGCGCAGAGCTGCCACTTCCATGGTCCTAAACATGAAACCACATGAACCAGGCATTTAATTTACCCCACCAAAGATGGGGAGCATTTAAAGGTTAAAGAAGTCAGGTCTTCTGTCCAGTGTTAATGGAATACTAGGCAAGGTTCAGAAGCCATGTCCTAATCTCCTCTGCGCAAATATACAGCCTGCTTCCATTTTTGAGGTAGTTTTATAAAAATGCAAATGATCCACCTTCAGCTTCCAAACCAGTTCAGGAGGGGAAACCAGCAGACCAGGTAACGTAATTATAAAACGCTGAGCGCAGCCTCAGAATAACTGAAACGAGTCAAAAAAGAAAACCTCACATGTCAAACAGTCTGCCTTCCTCCATAAAATATATTCCCCAGTGTCTGGCTCAAATTTCTGTCCTTTTGGAAAAGAAAATCATTGCAAACACCAAAGCATTAAATTGGTTCCAAATGATCTGCAGCCTCAAATACAGGAACACGCTCTGCTGTTGTGTGCTCTGTTGGCTAAAACCAGCAGCTTCCCCTCAGGGCTGCTTCCTGGGCAGTCCTTCCAGGCTCTGAAAGCACAAACCCGGCTGGATTGTTCATAATGATACATTAGTGTTAGTGTCACCCACTTGGCAAAATTTGAGGATAATTACAATGGAGTTTTTTTTAACTTTCTTTCCCCAAGCACATTCCTTAAAAAAATAGTCTAACAGATAAAATTACACACACACAAAAAATAGTTTAAAGCTTGAACAGAGAAGAAAAATAAAGACCCTTTAACATATCAAGTTACAGTGTCTTTCTAACAGAAATATTCCCCTGTTTCTGTTCACTGACCCAGATGTCTATCACACTGGCTTCCTGGAGCTCAAATCATGAGAACATCTGGATTACATTTTTCGGACTAACAAGAGATGGAATAAACAGGCTGAAACTACATAAAACTGATCAGGAAAGGGACTTTCACCTAAATGTGGTTTAGGAATGTATGTGCCTATAAGAACACTTCGAAGGGATTATTAGCCTTTGATAAGCATTTTCAGTCAAAGATTAGCTAAAGAAAAGTAACATCTGCTATGATGTTAAATTTCATGCAACAAGAAATGTCGTGTGATATTTTCTTCTTTTGAGAATTTTGAAAAAGAGAATTTTAAATTATATCCATTATGTTTTTCACACACACACACACACAGGAGCCAGTAAGAATATGTGCAAATACAACTTCCCAGTTATGGAAGGAAGTTTAGAGGCATGGAGTCTAATTCTGTTTAGAAAATTCGTTTCTCTGACTTCATTTTGGTTCTCTGACTCTACAGAAATAACTAAAGATTTAACCAAAACTAGTGACAGCTTTCACCCTCAGATTTAGGATACATTTATTCAGAAGTATATATAACAATCATACCTATGAGAACCTGAGATGAAAAGCAGATTCAATTTAGAAAGTAGAAACCTAAAGGAGCCACTAGAATTTTCCTGCCTTCCCAACAAACTTGTGCCAATATTTGGCAACCTCCACTCCCAGGGAAGTTACAACTCTCCAAAATGCCCCAACCCCTTCTGCCATTGGCAGTGTGATGGACTGCTCAGATCTCCCTTCAAAAAAGAACCTGCCATCCATCTGCAAAAAATCCAGGTAGCTGACTCCCCCAGCTGTTACCACCTTCTCTTCTGCCTCATCATCTTCTTCACAGGAAGCTCTGGCAATGACCCAGGGCAGAGTGGAGGCTGAGGCCTGGCCCACCCTGCCCCGTGCAGGGCGGCTCCACAGGGCTAACTAGCAGGCCTGTGTCTGGTCTGAGGCTCGGTCTGCCCCATGCTGCCTCCTCCCCTCTGTCTTTCAGAAGCGCTACCCTCCAATGACCCTCTTCTACTCATAACTCAACCCCAGCATCTGCTTTCTGCAGGTTCTAGTGGACGCAGCCTATCTATTCTGTTTCCACTCAGAAAAACACCTTGTCACACTTCTATATAAAAACTCTGAGGCTTCTGATACAGATAAAATTTTCCAAAACATATACCAAAATGATTAACGAAGAGACGCTTCTCTGCCTCTACACATTTCCTTTTAATAGTTCTAAACACAACCACGTTCACTGTCCCTCACTCTGAGACTTTTTCTCAAGGATTCATCATTTAAAACTGCCTAGGTTTTCATGTCCACCAGCCGGGGGTTGATCGGCGGGGAGGGAGGAACTCTTCAGCGTGGGTGCCCACCGGTAGACTAAGTGGGATATCTTACCGGAAATTTATGATAAAAGCTTTTCTTTTCTAATGACTCTTTCCTTTACTCTACTGTAGAGTTTCCCACCATATAGAAGTAAGAAGGATTCACACTGCACGGGTGGTTTTACATGTAGAAACGAACACTGCTTTAAATGGAAGTGGGTTTCGGAATTGCTGAGTGAGTATTCTAGTGGTTACGGCCCTTCCTACAAACGCTCACAAGGCCTTTCACTAAAAAGAGAGCCGAAAGATGTTTCTAAGTTTAAAGCAACCAATAATGGAAAAAAGGGCTCATCTAATATTGGCTTAGTGAACTCCATGGCTGAGAGGAACACAGCAAGTGGAAGGGTTCAACCCCAAAACAGTGATGGGACATTTCAACTTCTCCAAACTAAAGACAAGCAGCAGTTTGTGAGGTGAATTGATGTGTTGTTTGTTGTTGTTGGGTTTTGTTGTTGTTGTTTTAATTTAAAAGGATACACAATGCAGGATCATGGAATAACATTTAACCATAGATATTGAGGAGCAGTAGACAGGGCCAAGTGATAGTATCAGCAACAACAACAACAAAGGATTCGATATCCCGTGCTGATGTGGACTGCGTCTAGCTAGCTTAGATCTCTAACCAGGAAGAGAAAAAATGTTCAGTACCTTGACTTTGGCAGTACATCCTGAAAGTCGAAAAATTCCTTCAGATTCCAGACCCGATTCCTCAACTTTCTCAAAAAACTAAAAAGCAATGATACATTACAAAAATAAATACCTCCTTATGATCACAGACATCTGAAATAACAATGATGATGCCCACAATCAATAAATTACCAAGCATATATACGTTCCTGGTACTTGAACACCTTGTGAAATGTTCACAACCACCCAACGAGGTTAACGTCAGCCTCGTTTGCAAATGAGTAAATGGAGACTCAGCTGTTATATCACTTTCCCAGGATCAACCTAAAAGTAACGGCACCAACTCTCCCAATCTTGTGCTCTCAGTCACCACAGTGTGCTCCCACTTAACTGTTTTAAGATCTGGGTACTATGTCTCTCTGAAGATTGACCAATAAGAAAAGATTCTAAATTTACTACCATTAGTTGTAACCACTCTGGCTAAGAAACTATACAAATTCTAGAAATCTGACCAAGGAATGAGAAATTGTAAAGGTATATAGCTCATAAGTTTAGAGCTCTTATGGTGGTGATGATGGTGTTAAAATAATAAAAATAAACACTACACTTATTGTGCACTTAATTGTGTTTCAGATCAGATTCTCAGCACTTCATATGCATTTACTCATTTAATCCTCACAATAGCCCTATCAGGCAGGCACTCTTAGCACCTTCATTCTCCTGCTGAGATGACTAAGGCATGGATAAATGACTCGCCCAGTTCACACAGCAAGAGCAGGATCCAGAGTCTCTGCTATTTTCCCTTCAAGACATGATGGTGCCTGGGACTAAGGTAGTTCTTATAGGTATGGAGAGAAATAGATATTTAGGAGGAAGAAACAGCTCCATAAGAAAAGCCTCTCCTGCAGGAGTGGAAGAGTAATGCTTCAAGCCGTCTTAACCAAGGAACACGTACCATTGGTAGTAATAATGGGTAAAATGTACTGAGACGCTACTGTATATAAATCCAGATTTAGTTTAACTAGCATTTATTGTGCAGCTTCCATTTGCTAAGTTCCACGCTAGGGTTTTGCACCTAAGTAATAATATAAATTCATCTGTTGAATCTTCTTAGTCTTAGATTTTTATGCATTTTCTTCAAACTCTGTCCTTTCCATAGAGGACAAAGGGCACAATTCTGGTTCTAATTTAAGGAAAGAAAGAATCTTAGAGTCACCATGAACTTTGCCCTTGGACATACACTGTGATCCTTTTTGCATCTACCTCTCGCTGGCTGTGTGTCTTGGGTAAGTCATCTCACCCTCCTGTGCCTCAGTGGCTTCATCAGTAGAAGGGGGAGGATAACACAGCCCTCCTCAGGCTGCTCAGCACCAACAGATGTGACAGGAAGCGGACGGCACTGGGGCAGCCCTGAGCAGGGGAGGTGCTGCAGGTGGCCCTGTGCACACCGGCACGTCGCCGGCATCCTCTGGGTCTCTGGGGTCCGTCCTCCCTGCTCCCAGGGGCAGCCAAACTATTCCCTGATTTGAGGAGTAGCTCAATCATTGGTAGCAAAATTTAGGAAGATAGTAAAGAGACACAGAATTGTTACTGTGAATAAAGTAAGTATATGCTTCCTCAGGCAATATTTTTACATATCATTTAAAAACTCAGTTTAAAATTCAACACGATTTGTATTTAGAGGTTGGAATTTTAATCGTGCCACTGGATGTCACTGTTGAATAAATGCATATTTAGGTAAACCAGTGTAAATTGTTGGCAATAAAAAAACGTGACTTAAAAGCAAATGAGCCATTCACCAATGATGGTCACAGAGATATCAGTATATGATAGTTCAGATTATAGCATTTTCAAAACTTCCCAAACAAAAAAATCTTCTTTGTGTAAATGTATCCTATCTTCCCAATTATGCCTAAAAAACCACCAGAACAAGCTGATTTTTAGACTTTATTAAGCTTTGTTTGGAAAATTCATTTAAATGATTCCACATATGCATTTTAAAACGCTCAATTATGATATGTCTCAGCAAATACTTGTACGATAAGTAAGCAGATTGCTGACCATTAATAGTTATCTTTTTTTTTTTTTACTTTTTTTTTGTGTGTGAGGAGATCAGCCCTGAGCTAACATCTGCCAATCCTCCTCTTTTTTTGCTGAGGAAGACTGGCCCTGGGCTAACATCCGTGCCCATCTTCCTCCACTTTATATGGGATGCCGCCACAGCATGGCTTGCCAAGCGGTGCGTCGGTGCGCACCTGGGATCCGAACTGGTGAACCCCAGGCCGCCGCGGCGGAGCACGCGCACTTAACTGCTTGCGCCACTGGGCTGGCCCCTTAATAGTCATCTTTTACCCCACACAGAATAATCAAACACACACACAAACACATATATACACACAAGAAACATTTAAAAAAATATTGGAAAAAATATAACTGGAGAAAGCCAAGTGACAGAGCATCTGTGTCCATCACTCGATGCTTTATGGTGAGACAAGGCAACAGGCTCCAAACGTTCATAGCAAGGCCAGCTGGTCCAAGTACTTGTGGGATATCAGGGGGATGCATGGAAGAAAGCTGAAAATCACCAGGGGCCCGGGTCCTAACAGGGCTGTAGCATCTTTAAATCAAGAGGAAAATTCCTTAGCGGGTTTACAAATAGCAAATTGCAGGCTCTATTAATTCCCAATTCATTCACCTTCTACTCACTTTTTGTAACACAAGGGGAACTTTCACTCCAGGCTCTTTCTTTCGGTCATTGTCCAGTAGGACTGTAAGTGGAACTCCAAAAATCCCATTGTCTTCATTGTAAAATAGTTGAGAAAGAAAAAAGAATCAGAAAAGCACTGTCTTATTCCAATGTGTCAAAGTGCTAAAATCAGAGGAAATCACTCTTCTTAATTACCTCGACCTTTTACTTTCTCTGTTTTGTTTCTTTTCAGTTGAATTCCAAAGGCATCAAAAAAGGCCGTCAATTCAATCAGAGAGAGATGGCGGATTTTCTTCATGTCTTCAGTAGACAGATCTCCTGCTTCAGTTAGGCCAAATCTGGTTTTCTGAACAATAAATTTCTAAAATATATATTGAGGATATTTATTTTTTATGGCAAAGGAAAATTATTATACCTTCATTCAAATACCACCTGGACATTCTAAACCTGTACAGCAAGACATGCTATTTGCAAAAAAATCTCTGTGAAGCATGCTGCATCATAGAAGGACTATGAATATGATTTTTAGAACATTTGCAGATCACTACTATGCTCAATTAGAAGCAAAACAGTGGTCTGAAGTATACTATACATTGCCATCGCAACTATGAAAATTGCTTTCTTCCAAGGAACATCCTGTATTGTCAGCAACACACTTCCCAGGCATCACATGGAAAGTACATACCATGGGCACACATGAGACATGCATACAAGACACACCACCTAAGGACTCCCTGGAGAACTTCTGACATATCTTTGAGGGGGGGGGCACCAATCATCATCAGGTATCATCTATTCTCTTCTGCCTAATTCAAAAAAAAGTAATTTCCCCGTTGAAACTGATTGCACATACTTGCTGAGACAGTAGTTATTCTACCTTAAAAATCAAATTTAGATGATTCAAATAGTCCTAAAAAAGGAAAATGTGTAGAATGTGCCAAATAACCTATTATCATTTTGAAGACAACGATATGGTTATATTCTCCAGTTCCGCACTACAAAACAAAATATACTAAAACAACAACAAAAAAACCTTCAACAATCCAGAAATATTGTGAAGATTATAAGAAGTAAGACCTTTTAAAGGCAAGAGCTGGTTCTTATATAATACATAAGTATTAATATAAGTATTATATATATACGTAATAATAGTAAAATATAAGTATTATACAAGTATAATATACAATTAATATATAATAAGTATAATATAAGTTTACATATAAATATATATATAAGGTATATAACAAATACTTCATTCTCATAAAACCTGGTATTTTGGAAAGGAAGAAGTAAAACTATCACTATTTGCAGACAACATGATTTTATATATAGAAAACCCTAAAGAATCCACCAAAAAACTATTAGAAATAATAAATGAATACAGTAAAGTTGCTGGATACAAAATCAACATACAAGAATCAGTTGCATTTCTATACATTAACAACGAAGTAGCAGAAAGAGAAATTAAGAATATGATCCCATTTACAGTTGCAACAAAAAGAATAAAATACCTAGGAATAAACTTAACCAAAGAGATGAAAGACCTGTACACTGAAAACTATAAAATATTGTTGAAAGAAACTGAAAAAGACATAAAGAAATGGAAAGATATTCTGTGCTCATGGATTGGAAGAATTAACATAGCTGAAACGTCCATACTTCCTAAAGCAATCTACAGATTCAGAGCAACCTCTATCAAGGTTCTAACAACATTTTTCACAGAAATAGAACAAAGAATCCTAAAATTTATACAGAAAAACAAAAGACCCTGAATAGCCAAAGGAATCCTGAGAAAAAAGAACAAAGCTAGAGGTATCACACTCTCTGATTTCAAAATGCAATGCAAAGCTATAGTCACCAAAACAGCATGGTACTGGCACAAAAACAGACACACAGCTAAATGGAACAGAATCAAGAGCCCAGAAATAAGCCCACACATCTATGGACAGCTAACTTTCGACAAGGGAGCCAAGAACATACAAAGGAGAAAGGAAAGTCTCTTCAATAAATGGTGTTGGTAAAACTGGACAGCCACATGCAAAAGAATGAAAGTAGACCACTATCTTACACCATACACAAAAATTAACCCAAAATAGATTAAAGATTTAAATGTAAGACCTGAAACCATGAAACTTCTAGAAGACATCAGTAATAGCAGCATAGTTTCAAATACCATGTCTGACCAGGCAAGAGAAACAAAAGAAAAAATAAACAAATGGAACTACATCAGACTAAAAAGCTTCTGCACAGCAAAGGAAACCATCAACAAAATGAAAAGACAACCTAACAACTGGGAGAAGATATTTGCAAACCATATATCTGATAAGGGGTTAATATCCAAAATATATAAAGAACTCCATACATCTCAACAACAAAGAAAGAAACAACCCAATTAAAAAATGGGCAAAAGATCTCAACAGACATTTTTCCAAAGAAGATACACAGATGGCCAACAGGCACATGAAAAGATGTTCAGCATTACTAATTATCAGGGAAATGCAAATCAAAACTTCAATGAGATATCACCTCACGCCCATCAGAATGGCTATAATTAACAAGACAGGAAACAAGTGTTGGAGAGGATGTGGAGAGAAGGGAACTCTCATACATTGCTGATGTGAATGTAAACTGGTGCAGCCACTATGGAAAACAGTATGGAGATTCCTCAAAAAATTAAGAATAGAACTAACATATGATCCAGCTATTCCACTGCTGGGTATTTATCCAAAGAACATGAAAACACAAATGTGTAAAGATATATACAGAGATTAGATTGGTGGTTACCAGAGGGGAAGGGGAGACGGAGAAGGGAGAAAGGGGTGATTAGGCACATGTGTATGGTGATGTATTGTAATTAGTCTTTGGGTGGTGAACATAATGTAGTCTACACAGAAATCAAAATATAATGATGCATACCTGAAACTTACATAATGCTATAAACCAATGTTACCTCAATAAAAAAAAGGAAGAAAGAAAGAAAACCTGGTATTGAAAAAAATGGTAAAGTAGAAAAATCCCATAGTTATTTAAATCACAAAGCTCTAAGTACACATTCTCCAGAGGGGTCCCCTAAGTTAGAGCTTCCTTGGGGTTTTTAAACCATCCACCAATTCACTCATTCCTTCATTCATTCATTCAACAATTGTTCCTTGGAACTCCAAGTATTTAAAAGTAAAACAACAAAACGTAGGATGTGTTTTGGGACATACCCTGTGCTATTAAACGCTTAGTTATTTTATCTTCTTTCTGAGACCAAGGCCGCACATAACAATGACACTTAACAACAACAAAATAAACAAGAACCTCAATCATTTACTGAGCCATTACGTGTGCTAAACCCTATGCAAAGTTCTCCATGGGAGGCTAACCTGCACCCCATGAGCCAAACCTCAGAAGGAGACAGCTTGGATGAGGAGACTGGGGACCAGCATCCTCTCTTGGACAACTAACTCTCTTTAAAGATCCAGAGGGACCCTCTCTGAAACCAGAGTCTTGCTGGATTCCCTCTTTTGCCCCATAATGCCACTGTGCCCTCCAACATAGAGGCTACTTAGGGCCCAGGAGGGGTTTTGGAGACTGACACACGTAGGTAGGTTAATCCTGTTTATGCCTCCTGCTGGCGGTGGGGCTTTGGATTATGTTACTTGGCTTCTTTGGGCCTCAGTTTCCTCAGCTGTGAAACGTGAGCAATCACTAGGGTGACGACAACCAGAACACCTAGCACAGCGTCAGGCCCGTAGAAGACACTCAGCCAGTCTTAGGGTTCTCACCCTGTCCTCTTCCTCTCCTCCATCATGCAGTGTTTGTCTGGGAATGGCCCAGGCCGCCTGGGGCAAAGACTCTGCCTGGTTCTAGAAGACTCATTTCTTTAGTTCTGAAACTGCCTGAGCCCTGCTCATCATGCCTCCAGCCCTGATCAGCACAGAATATTCAGGGCTCCACATCATGAACACTTCACAAATGCATTTATTGAGTAGCAAAAAGATCAACGTAACGTAGTTCCTGTATTGGGCTTTCAGGATATAACATCCTGGATATGTATAATGAGGCTTTCAGGATCATGAAGTATGTAGCTCTACTTGCACAACCCATAATTATATTACAAATTCTTGAATTTGTTTTTGATGAATTTTTAGTGTCTGTCCTAAAAGCTCTCACTTCTTCTTGTTATGACTGTGACTTTCTGCAGCATCCCCTTCTCGTATGTGGCTTCTAGAGCACAAGGAGTTATACAGTTAGAATCTGCATCCACCTCTAAATAAATCAAGGATATGAAGTGCATGAAAGCACGCAAGCCAGGTGGAAATCCTAGTTCATCTATAAAGCAGCATTCGAGCACACACCCTCTCAACTCTTCCTCCACTCAGGCAGGCTGTGCACTGCACAACAAGTGGTACCCCCAGGGTTATGCAACACTGATGCCCGGCCCCTCCCCCCACCTTGTGCACACATAAAGAAAGTAAAAACAAAATCCTAGTTTGTCCTGTGGAGAAGTCACAGAAAGCTAGTGGAATAATCATAAAAGGTTTTACTTACAGTTAAAACATAGTCTTCTTTCTTAAAATCTGACTTCTTAAATTTATTTCTTTTTGGCACCTCTGTAACCATTTCTGAATAAGATACTTCAAAGGATAGCTCTTCACCTTCTGGTGGAATGTTCTTTTCCAGATAATCATCATCTAAAAAACAAGGGATATAGAATATTTAATATGCCATTTAATCAATCAATACTGTTTACTGTAAAATAAGCACAAAATATTTACCAGTCAATCCATAAGCACATCAGAATGTTTACAATCAAGGAAAAGCATGGGATGACCCAGAATGGTTTCAGTTAGACAATAATGTAGTATCATCAGACTGTCCTATGAACAAATTTCTATAATCATTATCCAAACAAACTTTCTATTTAATCTGATGTTTTTAATTTTAGATTTTTATGTTTCATGAAAGACACTGAGGATTATTACAGGAAAGTTCAAAAATGGGATATTTCTATATGTTCTTATGATATTAAAATTAAGTCCATCTAGACCAGCTGTTGCTGCTCTTGGGGAAGCAGAAGCTGAAACCAGAGGGAGAAAAGGCGGAGCCGCCACTAGAGTTCCCGCCTCCTTTCCCTCCTCCTGGCTTTCCCCCAAACTGTGGAACCGTGCCTCCTAAGATTTGTTCAAATTCAATTTTGACATCACTGCTAGGTTAGTTCAGGTGAATTAATCCAAATTTCTGTGACTTGGTCTTGGTTACCTTACCTTAAGACAGAGCTGAACGGGTGTCAAGTAATGTCTCATATCAATGTTTTCCTCAAATAGTTTGAAATTAAGACAATAGATTCTTTGACAAAAAACAAGTGAAATCATTTCAGTAATCCTAAAATCTGATGTCTGACTAAGATTTTGGCTTACTATCTTCTTTCATTGCCTGGAAAAACTGTTCATAGGTAATGAAAAGAATTATTTGATTACCAAAAAAAAAATCCCTCATCTCTTTAACCTCTTCTATAACAGTGATTAAAGGACGACCAATAGAACCAAAGGAACAAAGGACAAAAATAATAGAAGACCCAATGAATCTTACATTAAAAGTTAAATGGAGAAATCTGTAAATCAACAAATTTAAAATTCTAAACTAATACTAATCAAAAACACAATAAGTGGATATAGTAAGAACTTAGAAAACAGAAAGGGCAGAGTTATGATTTTCACTCATCATACAGAGGCTTGCATTCAAGGCAGAGGGAGATCAATTGTTAAATAATACTCTAACTTCTTAAGGATCTATGGACAGATTCTTTGGAGAGTGGTGATTATACAGGCTGCGGTTCCAAATCACCAGACTACTCCATGTAGACTTTATCTTTTGGTGGCATGATTGAACTGAATAACAGTATGACAGCAAACAGAATGACGTGGAATTATTTCTGGCAAATCCTTTCTCTTTTTTTTTTTTTGGTAGCAGCTTTATTAAGATGTAATCCACATGCCTACAATTCACTATTTAAAAGTGTACAAGTCAACGGTTTTTGGCATATTCCCAGCATTATGAAACCATCAATCAACTTTGGAACATTTTCATCACCCCACTGTATCTGAATTGTGAAGCTAATGCTGCAAGTATGGGGTTCTGTCGCATATGAGAAGGGTGCACATATTTAGGGGAAACTTTAAGGAATCACAAAAGTGCAGCCTTAAGGGGCCTATTTCCTACAAGGAGGATTTGAGATGCCATACTGAGCCCATGGAGGATGCCAATCTCTGAAGTAGAAGAGGCCCAGTTAAAAGCTAACCCTGTAACCCCTTATGTCACAAGCTAACCTGCTGCTGCATATGCTTGAGCACAATTAGAGATGCTCAGAAGGGGCCTACTTCCTGGCCTGCTCGCAACTGTGAAGCAGATCCACATTACTTGTCAAAGAGGCCCCAAACCAAAGACACTACTAAAGTGAGTGGTTTCTAAATGACACGGTGGTGGTGAAGGAGGAAAGATTCTGCTTCCAGTCAGGCTCAATTAATTTTGTCTGGTGTGACAGAACGGGGTGTCTAGAGGTGAGTGGGAGGAGTGCTGGGGTGATGGAATCAAAATGGGGAGAAAAACACACTTACGTTCTGCTTTTAGAAATTCACTGCTAACTGTATTGAGGGCCAGCACAAAAGTGAGACGACCTGGCTTACGTTCTAGGAGGCTCTGTCACTCACCATTCATTGCATTCTGAACTGATCGTCCAGGCTCCACCGATCCATTGGAATGAGCTGGTATATCGGGAATAGTCTCAAGGATAGACTGTGAAATGAGGGAAGAGGAGCACAAAACATTTACCATGAAGCCAGTCTACTGGACATTTCAATCTGATTTATGTTCTGCAGCATACAAGAATTTCACTTCACTAAAATGCAATTCTTGATTTCATAAAGGACCTGCATCTGATTTCCTTTGTTTCTTCATTCAGTTCAGACCTGTACAGCTCACACAGGTTTCTCAAAAGAGAACTAAGTCAAGGTCAAAATAGCCACATCTTCTTGGCTCTTAAATATTTGTTGCTCATACCTTTCCTAACATGTAGAAATGACAGTGGTTGACAAGACATAGTTTGATAATTACAGTATTTGTTATCCTTTTTTTTTTTTTTAGGTGAGGAAGATTAGCCCTAAACTAACATCTGTTGCCAATCTTCCTCTTTTTGCTGAGGAAGATTGGCCCTAGGCTAACATCTGTGGCCATCTTCCTCTACTTTGTACATGGGATGCCTGCCACAGTGTGGCTTGATAAGCAGTGCGTAGGTCCATGCCTGGGATATGAACCCGCGAATCCCAGGCCACTGGAGTGGAGCGCCCAAACTTAAACACTATGCCACTGGCCGGCCCCTAGTATTTGTTATTCTCGATGCAGTTGGTCACACATTTTGGCATAAACTTTAAGTCATGACATAGTTAGATGGTTAATAACAGGGATGCTGCAGCCAGACTGCTTGGATTCTAATCCTGCCTCTACCACTTACTATGTGACTTTAAGCAAATTACTAGAACACTCTCTTGCTTGGTCTCCTAATCTGCTAAATGAAGATGATACTAGAACATATTTCAGAGAGCTATTATGAATTTTAAATGACCCCTGTATAATTACATGGAACAATATCTAGTACACAATGAGAACTATATAAGAGTTAGCCACTATTAATATACTTCCATATTAGTTCCTTCACTACAAAATACAGTGTGATAATAACTACCAAAAAATTAAGTATGTTTTCTAGTTCAGTTTCCTCTCTTAATTAATTTGCTACTTTATTCATTGAGGTTCTGCCAAAGCATTGCACTCCCTTGCAATATTATCAGAAGTTGAGTATCTATTTTTGTGGAGCCCTGTGAAGCAAGTTACTGCTTCAGGTTTGATGGGTACTAGTAAAAAATTTACACACAAATCCTACCATTTCTTCTACTATAAATTTTAACGTCAGACTTATCATCTGTGACTATGTGTGAGGGTGAAAACTTGCCATTCCATCAAGAATCTTTTATATGTTCTACATATATAAAGTCTGTTCTTTTTCCCCCCAGAGCTTGATGTTGTTTCTTTTATTCTCATGTTTATTTAGCAACAACTAAACACCAGCTTCATGAAAGATCCATCACGTGCTATCAATTGCACAATGGAGTCTCGAATTCTGAGCCTGTGTTCTCTTTTTCCTATTTTGTCTCAAAGGAGATACATACTTCTCATTGAGTAAACAGCCTGTGACTATACAGCCAATTATTAAAACGTAGATGCCCAGTTATGTAATTGGTGGAAGAATGAAAAGACAAAAAGAGTCTAGGGCCATATAGTCCATTGTCAGTCAGATTTTTGGTGGCCCTAAAAACTAACACTACAGAATAAAGATTACTCATAAACTAAAATCCTTAAAAAGATGTGGACCACTTTTCAGTGGTTTCTTTAAGTTTTCCAAAAAAGAAATGCTTTTTCAAACTTTGAAATAACTCACTTGTGAGAGACAACACTCTTGAAAATTGAGAGACATTTATGTAGGGTTTGAAGCTGATGGCTTGGGATGGTTTGAGACATTTATGTAGGGCCTGAAGTTGATGGTTTGGGATAAAGCTACTAAATGTCAATTTCTTAATGTGTAAGGTGCAGAAGTGTCCATCTGCTGAGTTGGTTCAACTGGCCTCTAGCCAGCCCATTGTACTGAATGAGTGCCCGCTCTCTGCAATGTAAATTATTCTAGGACTTCTTGGGGGAAGCAGAAGTTTAAATTGTGATCCCTGCTCTTGAGCTATTTATAATGAGGAGAACAGAGTAACATATATGGAACATTATTAAAAGACAATCAATCCATGGTTAAGAGCTAATTCCTACAATACAACTATAAGTTTATTGGAGAGTACCGGAGAGGAAAGCAGTGCTGCCCAGGTTTCACTGAAGAGGTGGCTGAGCCTGCGCTGGAACTCAAGGAGTGATGAAACGGACTTACAAAGGCAAAGGAGGCGGCCAAAGTGTTCAGGCCAGAAATGGAAATATAAATTTCAGGTATGGAAACATCTGAAGCATTTCAGCTACAAGGGATCATGGAGAGACTGGTTTGCCAGGAGTTGAGGCAAGGTATTCGAAAAATATGAGAAATACATTAGTCAAGAGGGTCAGCTTAAAATACAGAAGGTTTCGAAGGCCACGTAGAGGTGTTGAAACCTAGACTTATAAGGGTTAAAACAAAACAGAACAAAACAAACGAAAGACCATTCATGTGTTGAAGCAGGGGAATGACATGGTAAAAATAAGAAAGGACAACAAGCCTAGCGATAAATGGACCTTGAGTTTTGAAGTAGGTTGAGTGAAGAGGCTCTGTGCTTGGTATTCATTGTTTTAAAACATCCATTCACCCGTTAAACACATTAACACTAGCATCATTTTAAAATTTTTACTAATGATTTTAATGTATTTCAAACAAACTTGCCTGGCTTTTCCACCTGAGATCCTACCATTTCCCTGTGTGCCCAACCACAAGAGCTTCACTCTGGGGCTCCAACAGTAAGGAAAGGCAATGCTTCCTGGCCGCCAAAGCCTGCTCTGCTGCCCAAATCACACTGTGCGGGGACTGGAGAGCAGAGGATGGGGGTTATTGTTTTAAATTCCTAATCGTAGAAGGTTAGCACTATCTGCACGAGTTCTCTTCAGACTGAACTTGGACTGTCTGATATTTCCTTCACATTAAAGAAACACCACACCAAACATTTTCCCTGTTCATTACTTATGGGAGAACTTCACTGAATCAAAAGATGTTTCTGACCTTCCTGACTGACTGCTTGGTCTTTTATCACGGCTTGAGTCTATGTGTTATAATTCTATGAACTAAAGTTGCCTGTGCTTGAGTCAATACAGATAATAGGGTTCCCCATCTTCCTCTTCTGCATCTGATAACAGAACTGATAAATCCATATCTTGCAACCACTGTGCCAAATTCCCCAGAGATGAACTTAAATAAGTCACATTCATCTTCAAATATGCAATCAATTTTGAAATAAAAAATATAACAACAATTACAAAATCTACCCAAATGTGAATTTAAAGGTATTCCGATGACATCTTGGATTAAAAACTAAATAATATCTGAAATAATAAACTAAATGTTAAAGACAATGAGAGTATTAAATTCTAAAAATCCGTGAGAATAGCCAAAGTATTATTCAGAGATTAATTCTTCACTTTAAATGCACATAAGAAAGGTTAAAAATAAATATGTTCATAATCTAAGAGACTAGAAAAAATTATCCAAGTAGACCCAAGAATGAATGAAAAAATAGACCCAAGAATGAATGAAAAAATTAATAAGGATTGACTAAATTAATACAATAGAAAAAGTAGGCTTAATTAATTAAAGATAGTGACTTCTTAAAAAATATTGCTGATATAGGCAACTACTTACAGTTCTGATTGAGATAAAAGACATACATTTTAGGAACAAAAAAGGAATAATAGCTACCTTCACAGAAAATTTAAAAATTATACACTGAAATAAATGTGTTTACACACACATAACAACATATATTGAAATTCTAAATGAACTGAATGTTTTCCTAGAACAAATACACATTACCAAAATTCATACAAGTTGGAACTGAAAGGAATATAACCCCTAAACCATAGCCATTGAAAAATTAACCAATGATCCCAGGCCTTGGAGGATTCATAAACAAATTACAATACAAATTTATATATAAGAGATTTTATAGATTATATATTTACATCAAAGTTAAACAAATGGCTCCAAAATAAGAAAAAGATTCAAAAAAGATTCAAAGTTCTCAACATTTTTATGCCAAGATTAGCTTAACTCTGGTAACAACGAAAAGAAATTATATACATAGGCTAACCTCACTTATTAGAACAGTGGTTAAAAATGCTAAAATAGGGCCGGCCCCGTGGCTTAGCGGTTGAGTGCACGCGCTCCGCTGCTGGTGGCCCGGGTTCGGATCCGGGTGCGCACCGAGGCACCGCTTCTCCGGCCATGCTAGCCACGTCCCACATACAGCAACTAGCATGATATGCAACTATGACATACAACTATCTACTGGGGCTTTGGGGAAGAAAAAAAAAGGAGGAGGATTGACAATAGATGTTAGCTCAGAGCCGGTCTTCCTCAGCAAAAAGAGGAGGATTAGCATGGATGTTAGCTCAGGGCTGATGTTCCTCACAAACAAAAAAAAGCTAAAATAGTAGCAAATCATATTCTGTAGTGTAATAAAAGAATAATATGACACAACAAGTAGGGTTTATTTAAGCCATGAAATTATAGTTCAACATTAGAAAAACCTATCAATGTAATCCCTAAAGTAATTGCTTAAAGAAGAAAAACAATATACTCTTTTTTTTCTTTTTGGTGAGGAAGATCAGCCCTGTGCTAACATCTGCCAATCCTCCTCTTTTTTTGCTGAAGAAGACTGGCCCTGGGCTAACATCCGTGCCCATCTTCCTCCACTTTATATGGGACGCCGCCACAGCATGGCTTGCCAAGCAGTGCATCAGTGTGCGCCAGGGATCCGAAACGGCGAACCCGGGGCTGCCGCAGCGGAGCACGCACACTCAACCGCTTGTGCCACCGGGCCAGCCCCAACAATATATTCATTTTAATAGATGATAAATGATCATTTGATATAATTCAACCTCTACTCCAGATAAATGGAACTATAAGGTTCAGAAACCTAGAACACATAATATACTTAATGATGAAACTTAGAAGTATTGATGAGAAAATGAAGAACTTATCCAAAGATTCTCATAATTATTATTCAATGTTACAAATGACTGTGGTCAGTCTAATAAGACAAGGAAAAAAAATAAGATGAATAACTATTTTAAAGATTGGGTAAATAAATCTTTCAGTATTTCAGATGATACCTGTACAAATTATAAAATCAAATGAAAAATTCTTAGAAGTGAAAAAAGAACTTTCAGAAAGGAAGCTATAAGAGATACTTTTGTGAGAAACAAAAATACTTTCCTTACATATCTGCAAAAACAAACTAGAAGATATCATGAAAAACCCCTACCAGTTAAAATATCAATGAAAACTATTAAGTTCCTAGTAATTAACCAATGGAAAAATGTGTAAGAAAGAAAATTATGAAGTTTTATTGAAGGATAAAACATGTAAATAAATGGAAAGACACAATCATTGTTTCTCAATGAGAAGACTCAATATCTTAAGATGTGAATTCTCTCCCCAACATTAATCTTTAAATTCAATGAAATTCTTAGTGGAGTCCTAACAAGATTTTTTCAATGGATAGTAATAGCCTTATTCTAAGTTCATCTGAAAGAAAAAATTTCTGAGAAGAGGAAAGAAAATTTTGATGCACAACGAGTGTGAAATTATCAAAACAGATTTAAAAAACAAATGATAGAGTCATAGTAATCATGATAGACTCTGTATATATAGAGATTTCACTTATCATAAAGGCGCGTTTCAAACGTGTAGAAAAGATGAAAGATTGAAAAAGAAAGGTACTGCTCAAGCCAAGATTACTCCTTTGGAAAACCTAAAGTTACATTATCTACTTTACACCATTCTACAACATAAATTTCAATAGGGCAAGTTGTGGGAGCCTCTGAAGTCTTGAAGATGACAATAAAATGTCCCCGAGAATTTACCCTGGCAGGCAAGATTTACCCTTATAGGTAACATGGCCAGGACCTCTGAAGACCTTGCCACCACTTCACTGAAGTACTGGAGATCCCACCATCTAGAAGAGTCTAGGGAACCAAACTGGTGACAGTGGCTGCTTATAACCAAGACGCAGGGAAGTCAAAATGTATCTACCTCATTGTAAGAAGTTCTAGAGTGATTTTCAGTACAGGTGCAGGAAGGGTTAAGTTGGTATCTGTGGGCTACTGTAGCAACTAACCAATTTGTCTAACATTTCTAAGTAAAGATATTCTGAGGGACAAACAATCCAAAGTAAGTCACTTTGGAGACTGGTGCCAATAAGATTTTTTTTAGTCTCAGTACTGCTGAAACTGTTATTTATTGCCATTCAACTAGTTTTCAGAAAAACAAAAACAAAATCTGAGTGATTAACTTACCCCAGGAAGCTCTATCTATAACTGCCACACAAGCTCATTTTCTTTTTCTTACACTCTCAAACTTTAAAGAATCCAATTTGTAGACAATACATGCTCAATAAGGATTTGTTGAATCAATGAATCAATGATGTGGAGAAACTGGCAGTAAAGAATGAAGAAATAGAAAACATGACTAGCTTCGGTCATAGAAGTAAAAGTGTGGTCATGAACCGCCATGGAAAACCCTAGAAAACAAGGGCTACCCAACCTACTCTTCTTTAGCAACCCAATTGTGCAACCATCCTGCTTCAAGTTCTGCTTGGTGTGCACATGAAACCAAATGCAGTCCTTTGTGGTTGGCTTATACAATATGCCTGGGTGGTAAAGTTGGCTTGAGAGGCAGACAAGGGGTCAGACTATGTCAGGAGCTTTCACGTTAACTAGGAGGTGTGGGCGAACTGCTGTAGGTGTCAAGCAAGACTTACATTTTAGATCAATGCTTGCAGCTGTGGGAAAGATGAATTTGAGGGGTATAAGCTAAAATTAGGAAGATCACTTAAGGGGCTCCTTCAGCAATGCAGAAAGATGATGACGAGTTTCTGTACTAAGGAAGCAGTTGTAGGAAAAAAGGGGAATAGAAACAATCCAGAACTATTTATAAGATAAAGTCCACAGGTATCAGAGATGAGCATGTAGAGGGAAGAGGATAGGCAGAGTTGAGACTAAAACTTAGGAATGGGTCTTGGGCACATGGTACTACTGGCTGAGATGGAAAATAAAGGATCCTGGGCAAGGCCTTAGATCAGGAGACCTCAACCACAGGGGTACAGCACAACCATGAAGGTCCATTGCAGGTAACTCCTCACATCCTGTACTTACCAGAGTTTATGAATGACCAACTTTGTTTTCATCAATAAGTGGAGTGGACTGGAGATTCTCTCTAAAATAGAGACTTTCTCACTCATTTCCAGTCCAATGCATGGTCTTAAATGGGAAAGGAACAGCTGAATTTATAGCCCGTAGGTCAGACATTGTGGGTAAGCCTTAGCCTATCTGTGTCATAACCTGTAGTGCTGCTGACATTGACAACAGTCACTCATATTATTTTATGTTTCTTATATGATCATTGTGCAACAAACAAGACAACTTCATAAACAAAAATCTAAAAACAAAAGAGAAAAGCTCATTTACGTGGGGCTAACAGCATTATCTCCCTGAACAATGGGGATATCCTGGGAGTGTGTCATGCATGTGAATGTCAACTACCCTTTGTCTCAAAATCGACAACAGACAAGAAACTACCGCCCCAAAATGACATTTGAATATATCCCCTCCATCTGCCTGTCTGAAGTGCTATCTGTTGCTGTCCATCAACTTGCCATCAGAGAACCACTGCTTCATTGAATAGGGTCTCTCGCTTCTTCTGGTCCATCACATCACTCCCTGCCAGAGCACCCACACAGAGACACCACGTGAGGATTCCCAGTGGAGGTGAGGAGACAGGGATTGATGAGAGTATCTGACAAGGCAAAGTACAGGTTCTGTTACTCAAGGCCAAGTGAGTGAATTTGGATGAAGTGGAGGGTTTGTAGGGGTGAGGCATGAGAGCTGAGGTTGGAAATATAGGCATTAGTGGAAAGCTTTCAACACGATGAGGGGTTGTTAATTGATCCTGCAGGTAAAAGGACTCTGGGTTAAGATAGCAGAGTTAGGCCAGATCATCTGTGTGAACCCAGCCAAGAGGACCCAAGTTAACAAACTGCTCCATACTTGATACACATAAAGAACATCCTTTGGTTTCTGGCCACAGCGGTATTAATTTATAGAGTCCTCTTTTAAACCGAGATCTATTCATTCCTCAGTTTTGAGTCTCCTTCTTCCTAACTGTTACAAGGTCAGGGGGTCTACTGCTATCTGTGGTTTCCTTGCAATCTTAGTTCAAGTTTTTCTTATCTGTTTTGAAGAAATTGTTTCTTCTTGCCTTCAACTTGCAATTTTTCCCTGACATGCAATTGTCTTGGCATGCGATGACTTACCATGGAGCCACATCTGGGAACTGCGAAGCTCCCTTCTTCATCCTGGGACCCAAGTGACAGGGTAGTACTGTTGAGAGAAGCATCATCCGGCTAGATGGAGAAATGAAAGCACCATTCTTATTCAGGCAAATATTTTCTAACGTGTTGGTATATTCTACTGTGTGTACATACTTAGATACGTGTGGCAATCTACAAAGTTATGACCGCCTGAGCACAGACAATTGCATCCAGCCCTTCAGGGATCATTACTGTGAACCACCCAAATGCCAGGGCCTCTGACAGACACTGGCCTCTGTGGCAGACTCCTCTATTACCTGCTACAAACTCCATTTTTCTTAATAATATCTTGGTTTTGTTCCAGGGAGTTAAGTGTTAAACCAAAGAACTTGATTTCCAGGCTTTTTAGCAGCTAAGAGTGATCATGTGACAAGTGTGGCCAAGGAGGTGTAAGCGTAATTTTACCAAGAGTACTTCCAGAAAAGCGAAGGCTCTCCTGACCAAAAAGAACAAGGTGAGCTGATACATGCTCATGAAAGCACCATAGACGATGCCTGGTAACTCCAGGCTGTCCAGGCATCTTGCACAAATAAAGATGATGGCCACAGGAAAGGATGGCACAGACAGATGATCAAACACGGTTGGGTCCACGCTAAGGGGCATCATGTGGCTGCCCTGTCAGACTTGCATCACATCTGTTAAGCTTCTCCATGTGAAGCAAAACAACTCCTCCTTTTCCATTCTATGCAGCAAGACTTAACTGGTCTAATCTTATTTTTTTAACAGACCCTAAAACTACCTTTTGCAGTGAATAGAATTCAGTAGCAATAGTACCAAGTTGTTTTGCATTTATAAAGCTGGAAGTTAGAGATTTTTGCTTTGGCGTACAATGGGTTTACTGAAATTTAAGTAATAAATATTCCTTCCATTACTGAAGGAACCTTATTACAAAATTGAATATGTTTGATGCTTATGAAAACATACACTATTTTGTCTTTTAAAAAACTGTCATTCATCTTGCTTGACTATATTTTCTAAATTTTCTATAGACAGTATGCACTACTTATAAAATGAACAAGGAACTTTTTTTTTTAAAGCAACGAATAAAACACAAGAACTAGTACAAGAAATTTAAGTTAAGATGGTGAACTGATAATCGCCTACTTCCCCTCTTGGCTCAAATTACTAAAAATGGCAGAAAACTTATATTTTTTAAAGGCACATATTTTATTTTATTTATTTATTTATTTATTTATTTATTTATTTATAATTTTATTTATTTTTTTCCCCCAAAGCCCCAGTAGATAGTTGTATGTCACAGCTGCACATCCTTCTAGTTGCTGCATATGGGATGCGGCCTCAGCATGGCTGGAGAAGCGATGCGTCAGTACGCGCCCGGGATCCGAACCCGGGCCGCCAGCAGCGGAGCGCACGCACTTAACCACTAAGCCACGGGCCGGCCCCAAAAGGCACATATTTTAACAGCACTGGAAACCAGTGAAGAATTCTGTAGCAGATCAACTGATAGAAATTTCTAGATGAAAAGCAAATGGAATTGGTTTGGTAAAATAAAAACCTCTACCTAAAAGCAGAATTTAAAAGAAAATTTCTAGTGAGGGAAGAGAAAAACACACAAATAACATACAATGTAGAAAGAGTAGGAAAGGCTACAGGCAAATAATTAAGAAATGTTTACAAAATAGGAGCCAAGTAGACCCCCCCCCCCCCGACTTAAATATGTAAACAGCCCCTAAATGTAACCTTAGGGAAAACTCAAAACATGCAGTCTAAATAAAGTGAATTAACTGCCTTGTGGTGGGGGGCGGTGTCCTAGTATGAGTGTAGGGGTCTAAGAGAGAGGGATCTCAGGAGGTCACAACAAAAGACACGAGACTGAAAAATGAAATCAGCTTTGCTGGGAAGGAATAAATTCAAGTTCTTCATCTCCTTCATTGGTTTTACATTTGGGGAGAGTGTTTACTAGCCTACTTGCCCCCTCTACGCACCTTTAAGTTAAGCCCCCACTCACTCACAACACGTAATCAACAATTTTGGTCTTTGGAGAAAATCAATCTACTCAATTACAGAGGAAACATACAGCAATCCCCTGTACTAATCAATCAAAAAATCAATCAACTCCTACACTATGACTCTGCAGAGAACTTTAGGGGCCAGAAAGTCGTAGTTCCACATGCAAGTGTGCTGATATCTTCTGCCTTCTAGAACATTTTCCACCCTACATTACCTGGGATGGAATCTTTGGTGGGTCATCTCAGCCTCTTGCTGTGACAAGATTCTGACAGACAGGGTCTGGGGGAAGGACTGGGAAGCTGGACGGGAAAAAACACCCAGTATCCATAGTCTTGGTCAGAAGCTCTCCCTGCACTGGAGGCAAAACCTATAACCTGAGGACACTTGCTGCCACCCAAAGGGAGGTATGCACATCCGTGATCAGATGGTACTCACACTCAGCCAGACACGTCACTATTTGCGTCACTTATTGCTACACACTCCAAAAGCTTACGTTCTCCACACAAGATATTTACATATAACTGGAATGCAAAATAACTGGTAAAAACTAAATATTTACATCTCAGCTGATACTGAAAATATTGAAAAAAATATTCACATGGTAGTCCGCTATTTTTCTGTATGAGCTCACCCACAAGGACCAGGCTTTAGTTGACAATGTCCTCCACGTAGGATACACATAAAAAAACTAGTTTTGTTATTGTTGTTTCTGCCTGTAGAAGCATTTTTTAAAGATAGAATTTAGTTGTTTTTGGTTTACCTATTAAATTATTTCCTGCTGAGTTTAAGAGCTGTGGGTGATGGGGTTGTGGGTGGCTATGTTTGCCAACAATCTGAATTATGTTGCATCTTTACCCAAGAAAAGTGAGAATACACATCATTTATACTACAAGAATGTTCATGGCAGCAGTATTCATAATAGCTCAAAACTGGAAACAATTCAAATATCCATCATTAGGGTGAATATATTAACCAATAGTAGTATCTATGTGCAGTGGAATATTATTCATAATAAAAGGACCAAACTTTTAACACATGTGAAAAATGGTTGAATCTAAAAATTATTATCGAGTGAAAGGAACCAGATACAAAAGCGAATATTATATTTACAATTCCACTGACATGAAAGGTGAAACCGAACTAAGGTGTTAGAATCACAGCAGGCTTGCTGTGCAGGTGTGGGAGGACACTCGACGGGTAAGGCCTGAGAGAAATTTCTGGAGTGATGGAAATGTTCTCTATTTTGACTGACTGTGGTTATATGGGTGAAAACATTCATTAAAACTAACTGAATTATACATCTAAAATATGTACTTTTATTGTTTGTAAATTATACCTCCATAAAAAACACATAAAAATAATCTGATTCCTTAAAAATAATTCTTATCTTTAAGGGGCTGGCCCGGTGGCATAGTGGTTAAGTTCATGCTTTCTGCCTCAGTGGCCTGGGGTTTTCACTGGTTCAGATCCTGGGTGCAGACCTACTCACCGCTCATCAAGCCATGCTGAGGCGGTGTCCCATACAGAAGAGCTACAACTCTACAACTATTATATACAACTATGTACTGGGGCTTTGGGGAGAAAAAAGAAAAAGAGGAAGATTGGCAACAGATGTAGTGCAGGGGCAATCTTCAAAAAATAAATAAACAAACAAACAGTAGTTGTAACCTTTAAAAAAATAATTCTTATCTTCAGAGTGATTTAAGGGGCTATTGCTGCTATGAATCAAGAATGCACAGCTAAAATAATGGGTAAATCAGAGAGAAAAACGTTGTTCTTGGGAAATAAGGATAGGTTCCCTGAAATTTACAAAAAGAGTGAGATAAGCTAAAAAGCAATGCAATCATGATCAAGAAAAAATTACTAATCTGGAACATAAAGTTGAAGAAATCAGAGCAAACAGACTAACATGGGAGAAAATTTACGGGATACTGAAATTCAGTTCGAGCAAAGCAACAACCATCTAATATGTGTTCTGGAAGGGTGAGGACATAGAAAATGGGAAGAAAAAATAATTTAAGACACAACAGAAGACAATGTCCAGAAAATGAAGCAGTGACCAAGATGAATGAAATAAAGGGCAGATCCTTGTGGAAGTTCAGAACTCCAGCAATAAATTCAAAATAAATTCAAAATTCAAAAATTCACAAAAGTTGTAGAAAGGGTAAACAAAAAAAGCTTATTTATAAAGGAATGAGATTCGGGCAACTAAAATAAGAAAAGAAAAGAAAAACAAATAATGTCATAAAAGAGTATAATAGTTAGTGAATAATAAGAGAAATTCTACTATTCAGGTTTTCCAAGAGAGCTAAGGTTTTTTGTTAATGACAGACAGTCAGTTGGGCACATGTTCCTAAGAGGAATATCAACATGGTTTCAGGAGTTTGCTAACCATCTTGTAAGTATAAGGATTAAACTTGCATGCTATGGTGGCAGCATGAAAGGAAAAAGAAGTTGGTGCTAAGGTTGGCATTGCACTTGATTGCAGTTGTATCAGCCTGTGTCTACTCCCCATTAGTTACTTGTTTTGTGATTAAAACAAACTCCTACTTGTTTACATCACGGTTTCTTAGATTTTCTTTTCTATGAAGCAAACATAGACATAACCGATAATTTTTCACAGCTGGTATGATGGCATTTTGCAGTGAACTATGAATCAATAGCAAGCGTAGCTCTTTGATTTTCACTTAAGACGTTGGAAATAAACTAGATCAACTACTTTGTCTTTTGAATAAACTAACATCTCCAGTAACTAATTCATTTATGTTGACTGCACAAAAGGAAAATGTCCTCTTTTATCTATACAAGAAGTGATTTGTAGAGTAGGTCTATGATGATTGTAGACTGGGTTGTACACGCCCAGATTTAGTGGCATTTGTGATTTAGAGTCAAGGATCAACCACATATAATACATGAATAGACTATTCCTTCATTGTAAGTAGCTTATTGCATAATAAACACATTGGATATTAATGAAATCATAAAATGTTATATGGACTCTTTTTTAAAGGTTTATTGATGTATAACTGACATACAATTAACTGCACATATTTAAAGAGTATAAAGTATACAATTTGATAAGTTTTGACAAACATATAGACCCGTGAAACTATCACCACAGTCAAGACAATGAACAAAACCAGCACCTCTAAAAACGTCGTGTCCCTTTGTCATCCCTCTTTCCCTCACCTCCTTGCTCACCTCCAGGTCCCCAGGTAATCCCTGATCTTCTTTTCTTCACTATAGGTTAGTTTACATTTTCTATAATTTTATATAAATTGAATCTTTCTGTCTAGCTTCTCTCACATGGCACAACTATTTTGAGATCCATCTATGTTGTATACATCAATAGTTCATTGCTTTTTATTGTTGAGTAATATTTCATTGTATGAATAACCATAATTTGTTCATCTGTTTACCTGTAGATAAAACTGAGTTGTTTCCAGCTTTGGGCTATTATGCTATAAACATTTGTGGATAAGTCTTTGTGTGAAAATATATTATCTATGAGTAGAATGGCTGGCTCTATGGTAGGTATATGCTTAACATTTTAACAAGCTGCCAAATTATTTTCCAAAGTGGATGGACCATTTTACGTTCCCACCAGCAAGGTATGAGAGTTCCAGTTGCTCCACATCCTTAGCACTAGTTGATATGGTTAGTCTTTTTAATTTTAGTCATTGTACAGGGTAAGTAGAGATATCTCATTGTGGCTTTATTTGCATTTCCATAATCACTAATGATACTGAGCATCTTTCATGAAATTATTTACCACCCACATATCTTCTTTGGTGAAGTGTCTGTTTAAATCTCTTGCCCATTTTAAATGATGAGAAAAGAACAAACAAAATTTTACCACTGGAAAATTCAGGGTATGTTCTTAAAAGAGAAAGTTGATTTGTTTTCAAAGATAGAGGATTTTTGTAAAGTTCAGGGAACTAAAGGTTGGAAATACCAACAGGGAGCATACTGGAGACAATTTTTAATATCAAAAGAAGGAGTTTTTATATTATTTCTTTAAACAATAGGGACTATATTCTGGGATAAAATGGGAGAGTTAAGTCACATGACCAAGCCTCTCTCTCCTAAAACCTAGCAGAGTCAATAATATACAGCTAAAATTTTGAAAAAAAGAATCCCAGCAGCCTTCACACAAGTGGTGGACACAGAGAGACATTCCAGGAATGATGTGGATTCTTTTCCAAAATCCACCTCACTCTCCATTAAAACAGCACCAAGGAAGAAGTAAATGGAGAAAATTTTGGAAATGACTACTACTATCTCCTCCAAATTACGAGGGAAAATGACTGATGGTGTGAGTAACTATATCTGGGTTCAATATATGCGTACCCCTTCACAGTAAGTGTCTCCCCAACGCCATTTCAGCAGAGGGGAGAGAACCTATCGGGATGCACCATTTTGCCTTTTTCTATCTGGGAGGAAGTTAGGAGAGGGACTGTGAGGATGGAAAAGTAAAAGGGAAAATGGATTAACCTACGCTCTACCAAGGGAGAGAAAAAGATGGCTTCAGAGAGGAGTACAAGCAGAAACAGATGTGAGGAAAGGCTCTAGGCTAAACCATAAATAAAGCAACTTTCCTGGTCGCAAACTGCTGGAAGCTCCATCATTCTCCTCAGGCTCGCCTGACTTTGCCCCCTTCTGGGTAAGTAGGGACAAGCTGCTCTGCAGAAAGGCAGGGGGATGGCGAGGGGAGAGGGGCACTGGACACCTAGGGTTAAAAGGGTAGTCAGACGTAAGCTGCCCAGGGTTCACCCTGCGCCGAGGAAACTGTAACGACCTGAGGACGCCTGTGGCTCCAACACACACACCTGTGACTCCACGGAACTAACACTCCTATGAGAATTTTTTTAAATAAAAGAAAAAATGTAAAGGAACTAAATCTGTCAAAAAGAAATGCCTACAATCATTGGTTTCCTGGGTATGTATCTTTTTATTTATTTATTTATTTATTTTTGTGAGGAAGATCAGCCCTGTGCTAACATCTGCCAATCCTCCTCTTTTTTTTTGCTGAGAAAGACTGGCCCTGGGCTAACATCCATGCCCATCTTCCTCTACTTTATATGGGATGCCGCCACAGCATGGCTTGACAAGTGGTGCGTCGGTGCGCACCCGGGATCTGAACCGGCGAACCCCGGGCCGCCGCAGCGGAGCGCGCACACTTAACCGCCTGCACCACCGGGCCAGCCCCGGTGTGTATCTGTTTTTATAAAGCATACAGTTATTTGTGGATTTAACTATTAAACTTGGGTTCATTTACTGCTGAATGTTTTCCTACAAATCAATGAAAGGTAGATACGTCTGTTGACAGCTGTGGTTGTCCAGCCATCTTATTTACGTGTCATTGTTTTGATGTTTTGCACGATTGTCTTGAAGAAATGGGTTCTTCTTTCATCCCTACCCCCAGTTCTCCTGCTATAACTTACCAAGGAACCACCTGTTTTGGTAATTCTTGGCAGCTCTTTTTCCTCCTGAGTGCCATCCAAGTGAGAAGAATAGTTGTCACAGGTATCACCTGGCTAACGAGAGAAACAAAAGCCATTGTTATATAGGCATATCTTTCCCAGCGTGATTGTTTATTCAATCATGCATTACACTAGAATCTATTTAAATGTACAGTCATGTGGAGATACAGAGTTAATGACTACCTGTGCAATGGTAATAGGGCTTACCAATCTGCCCATAACTATACTGATCCTCATAAATGTCAGCACTATAATAGAAATTGGTCTCAGAAACAGACACTGCTAAATGCCTGCCAAAATCCACTTTTCTTTTCCTCTTTAACTTATGAATACCATGATTTTGCTCCAAGATGCTGTGTGTCTAACTAAAAAGACTAAGTGTGATCATGTGATGGTTACATCCAATGAGACAGAAGTGGAATCCTACTTGGTGGAGCGTCCAGAAAGGCTAATGTTTTCTTGTTAAAGTTGATGGAATCAGCTGATCGACGCTTCTTCTAGAACATGGACATGATACCTGTGATGCCCAGACATCCTATAAGCATTAAATATTAGCCAATATGCTAAGCGGAGCAGAATGGAAAGATGAAGAAGTTAGTAGAGCCATGCTAGGGATACCAGCCATACTAGCCTCAGACTTCTAATTTTGTAAGGAAAATAAAACTCTAATTGTCTAAGTCAAGCAGCTTACTAGTAAAACTATGCTACTTTAAAATAAGACTTTATGAGTATATTTTGCAATGATTTATAAATCAATAGGAAGAATAGTCAGTTTTTTCAATTATAAAATTGGACATACATTAGATTGATTATCTCATGAGCACATATGGCCGAACCAAGTATTTCATTCCCTTTCACTGGATATTGGAAATGCCTTGATTTTCATTATGCAGGAAGTGTATTTGGAGACTATTCTGATTCTGATGGACTGCAGTGCAGGCCTCGTGTATATGCTCTAAGATATTTAGCAGCATTGGTGATACAATGGCATTCCCCAAAATAAGATGCAAAAGTGTATTTTATGATTGAAGCAACTTTTTACAAAATTAAACATACTAGATATTAATGAAATCATAAACTTTTACGTGTGATCTTAGAAACTGTTATCTTTCAGCTTGCTTTTCCATATTTTCTAAAGCTTTCCACCAAAGTGTATGTATTACATTACTAAGAAAAATGGACATCTATTTTGAAGTGGAAACAATGCTAACGAGGCAGTACAGAAAACAGGTCAGGGTGGAGGACTGAGAGCGTGCCACCCCCAACCACTCAGAACTAGAGAAAGTGCGTATTTTTATAAGAACAGCTCCAAGTGGTGCTGGAAACCAACAAAGTGTTCTAAAAACAGAGGAGAAATTGTTAGAAATTCCTGGAAAATAAAAAGTATACCATTTATTTTATAATTGTAGAGAAACAGCCTAAGAACAGCATAAGACAACATTGCTGGCAAGGAAAGACATCCACGAAAAACAAACCGACAGACACCCACTAAGCCCAGAGTGAAAAAATGCAAAGGGCAATGGCCAGAATAACTCATTGTAAAGTGTTTCCTCAACAGAGGGGCCAGACAGTCTCCCAATAGCCCCCTTTCTACTGAACAGCAGGCAGTAGCTATGTATGAACCCAACAAAAGCACTCTGAATGAAGTGAGCTACCTGCCTTGAGAAGATGTCCAGGGTTGAGACCAAAACAGACCTCAACATCAGGCTGCTCTGGACCTCCACAAGAAACGGGAGCGGGAGAATAAAAAGAACACATCGGTTTTGTCTGGGATAGAAAGAAATGAAGTCATTCGCCACTCCCTCTCTGGCATTGAAGGTGTGTGCTTGTGTGTGCGTGCACGTGTACTCACCCACATGTACTGTTAGACCAACTACCATTCACACACCGTTCACAGACCTTACCAACTTGCACAGGACCCAAAGTCAGCCCTCGTATTCAATAAAGAGTCCTTCGGGAAATTATCTATATAATGGCAGACAAATCATACAGCATTGACATATCCTTAGTCATTAATCAGTCAATCCAGCCATTAATAAATATAAATCAATCACCAAGGATCATCAGCCATTGGAGAAAATCAACATCATGAAAAATGCAGTCATGGAGAAAATCAACATTCTGAAAAAGAAGTATAGTGACAAACATTCTGGGAGAGAGAATTGAGGGAAGAGAAGAAAGCTTATAATGATTTAATAATTTCAGAGAGATTTGAGAGGCTATTGCAACCACAAATACAAACTAACTCTAACAATAAAGGGGAGATCAGTGGAAAAGGAGGAGTTCTTATGAACTAACAGTATGATTGCTAGACTGAAAAATCAATATGGGCTAAATTATAACTACTCTCGGCAAAAATTAGAATCAGGCTCTACAAAATGATGTAAAAAAATCTACTGGCATACAGAACAAACAGAAAAAAAGACATGGAAAATATGAGACAATTTAACAGATATGTGAGTTAAATGGAGTACTGAAATAATTAAAGAAATAATGGGAAAAGAATGTTCAGAACTGAAAGGAAAGAAACATTTTTCAGAGACAAAAAGCTGAGTGCTGTTCATGATAAAAAAAAAAGATTTCATATCCTGATGACAGTTCAGGTCTCCAACAATAAAGATAAACCTAAAAAGCTTCCAGAAATATAAAAATGAGAGCAGCATATAAATAAAGGAATAAGATTTAGAGAGGCATCAGACGTCTCAAAATTAACACTATATGAAAAAGCACATAGATTAATATTTACAAATTTCTGAAAGAAATTGATTTAGGGCCTAGCATTTTGATACTCATCAATTTAGGATTTAAGCTTTTTGGATATGAAAATGTATCCAGAGATATTTCTTGTGAGAATTGCTCAAAGGATAAAAGATGCAGTCTGCTAAGAAGATGTAACATTTTGTAATACATGTGATTATGCAAATTAGCGTTCTCACTATTCCCTGTAGCCCTTCTGTTATGCTGGCCTCCTCATCCCCCTGTGGGAAAGAACGGTTCTCGCTCTCTCACCCTATAAGCTGGTGAGTAGTTTGGGCTGGGCTGGAGCAAAACTTAAATGTTCTCTTCCATCACAGTGAGGGGTTTCTTCACGTGTTTGGGACTTCACTTGCCCCTTGATTAACCTTTACAAGGTGATGAGACCTTCAAAGAGTTGAAATAAAAGGGATAGTGATAAAAGAGAAAAGAAACAAAATAAGCCTAGACTAACCATGAGAGCCCACAGCAAGGGGTGGGAGTGTCGGTGTGGCTGGCGGAAGACCTCGACTGAGGCTCACTGTGTGCACTGCCTTGACATCTGGTACAATGGGGAGGGCCACAAGAGGTCTAAGTGCAAGCTGCTCGCCCACTCTGCTCCCTCAGTTAAGGTCCCCCCGCCAGACAATGCTCCTTATCTAGGGGACCAGACACAGTTCTTGCTTATCCCTGAGTAGTGCGTTTCAGTTCCCTGCCAGCCTACGGAATAATTTAAACAAGCCAATCACATCCTCCCATGGGAACCTCACCCTCTTGATACTACAAAGCCTGCCTCCCGCAGCCCCTGGCTGTTCACTTGTTCCCAAGTGCATCCCACACATGGCGCCGTGGCCATGAGAACATGTGACTAATAAATTGCTGCCAATCTTATCAGTCCAGTGTCAAGTGTCATGTGCTGAGCCATCTCTGTAATCCTAGGGTGGAATCCCTCCCTCACCTACAGAGTGAAGAGGAGGCGAGTCAAGTAGAATCAGGTGGGGTAGAAAGCTCACAGAAATCCGTTATTTGAAAACACTGACTTGCCGCTCCTCTGGCTGAGGGGAGAGGTAGTGGCTGCTGTGAAGGGAAACAGGGCCAGCAGTGAGGAACAAACACCTCGGATCCAGTGTCCTGGTTGGAAGCAAGACATGTAAGACTCCCTGCACTGAGGGAAAAGTCTAAAACCTGAGGACACCCGCTGCCAACTCAACAGAAAACGTAAAGACCTCTGACTAGATGGAGTTAACACTCTTAGGAGAAAGGTAATGAAATTAGAAAAAACATTAGAGACAAAATCTGCAAAATAGCATTGCTCACAGTCCCAGCTGATCACACTTCACCTCCAGATCTTGACCTACCCTCAAGCAACAGAAGAGCAGCCAGAACACAAACGGACCACATCCAAACCCTTAAGCAGAATTTTAGAAGGGACCAAAGACTAGCCTGTATTAGCACAATTGTAAGATCCAGATAGAGTACCCCACAGAAAATACGTGTAAGATGAAAATAAACTGTATAGAAACTAAACATCATCATCATCTTCATCAGATCCAGGATGGTACAGGGGTTCTTCTTAGAAGAGCAAAGAATCCCTCTTCCTCTACTAGGAAGGAAAAAGAGAGCTAAAGAGAAGGAAACACATTGAAGGGTAATAGAGGAAAGTCCCTCTCTCTGCATGCTCTGCTGCCAGGACCCCAAGTGGAGGCAGACGTCAGCACACCACGTCCTGTACGTCTCCTGCTCAGCGGCACCCAGGCTCATGCCCAGTGGTGCAGACCACAGCATGGGATTCATCTCACAAAAACAAAGCCTTCTACTGAGATAGCTTCACCAGCAGTTATGAATCCAGATTAGCACCCTTCAAAACTCTGTACTAAGACGGACAAGGTGGGCTCTGATGAAATGCATTTACCTCCTGTGCGAGACAGTGCACTTCCCCCAGTTACTGCTACACATTGAAGATGCTGTAGTGCTGCTCCTCACAAGATATTTACATTTAGAAAATAACTGAACATGATGTAATCTATGCAGAAATAGAAGGACAATGATGTACACCTGAAATTTATACAATGTTATAAACCAATGTTACTGCAATAAAAAAAATGTATAGATTAAACAAAGGACTCAAAAAAAAGAAAATAACAGAAATGTCAAAATATTTCTTGGGGCCGGACCGGTGGCGCAAGCAGTTAACTGCGCACGCTCTGCTACAGCAGCGTGGGGTTCACCAGTTCAGATCCCGGGCGTGCACCGACGCACCGCTTGTCAAGCCATGCTGCGGTGGCGTCCCATATAAAGTGGAGGAAGATGGGCATGGATGT